GCAATACAAGTTGCCTTTTGTCTAATTTGTGTGCCTTCTTGTTGCCTTTTGTGTGTTGTTGCTTGCATTTGTAGGCTTTCTCGACCCCATTGAGCGCCGCACGGGGCCTCGTCGATTAGCCCCGTGACAGCTTGCTCTGTCCAATTTGGGTAATCCAGTCCAACCAATATTCACAAAGTCCGACCCGACCCAATAGAAATCAATCCGGGTTGACCCGAATCTGAACGGCTTGAGCTAGATGATTCAGCCTCTGCGTGCTTTGCCCGGTCTAAACCGTTCGCCCGATCAACAGTAGCATGACCCGATCCGAAGGTCAGCCGGTCCGGTCCTGAGCCTGTGCACAAACCTGATATGGTTCGGTCCAAGTCAATCCACCATTGACTGAACCGGTCTAGTCTGACCAGACTGATACAGATCTAAATGGTTCAACCACCCTTGAACTTAAGTGGTTTAAATTGGTCTGACCGGTTTTGAACCTAAGTGGTTCGGTCAAACCCGGAATTCGAACATAGTCAAATGGCTTCGCCACTTGTGTAAAAATAACATAAATGTAATGTGATTTGAACCTTCACCACTTATGTAAATAGTAACTATAATAACCACCAAGCTACAACCAACTTATTTGTTAAGAGAGGGAGAGTTTCTTTTTTAAGTCAATAAATATAAGATTAATGGGTTTGGGCGGGTTGGATTGGGTTAAAGCGGGTTTGGGTTGAACCCAACCCATTTAATTTTATATAACTAGGTCATTAATGGGTTGGCGGGTTAGATGGATTGGGTTGAAACTCAACCCAAACCAAACCCAACCCAACCCGCCCAATTGCCACTCCTACCAATGCCTACTAAAGACTAGTTCATGATGGAAGATGCCGGTCCATTGCTAAACCTTGTTTATATCTGGCCTAATTAAGATTACAGAAACCGGTTTTTTGGGCTCAAATAGTTCTCTGATGTAATCTTAGAGGAGAGCTAATATTTGCAGGCTAAATTAGGAATAAAGTCTAGAATGTCATATCCTAAAGCCAATGGTTATTGATCATCACCATGTACTATATATTTTTTACAACGTTGCCCCGTGTACTATATAATTTCTAACCCCTGACGGTGTTAAAGCTGAGCTTTTAAAGCAAAAAATAAACGGAGAAGTACAGATAGGCCAAATGCAGATTTCTGATTTCCACTGCAGAGCTATAAACATTTAAAAGGTCAAAAACCCACACTCTATGCACTCATACCTGCCTGTGTATTGGCATCAATTCCAAGCTGGCACCTACCCCAAATGTACTTTGAGCCTACAAATTCTTACCCTGGGCTGAACCATCATTCTCCAAAAAAAAATAAATAAATAGCTGAGATGGTGAAGTTTGATTTTGGTTGATGGCAAAATCATATGTTTGATAATGGGAAATTCAGTGTTTAAAGTATTGATACACCCAATGCACAAACATGCATATTATGTGTTTCTGTATAATAAAAAACCTTTAATAATAATAATAATAATAATAATAATAATAGTAATAGTAATAATAATAATAACAATAACAACAACAACAATAAACCTTTATTATTAATAAAAAACCTTCATCATTATTATAATTGATAAAAAACCTTAATTATAAACAATGATTCTAATAGGTACATAACTTGTAACTATGTTCATTATTAATAATTAATGAAAATTATTATTATTAATTATTAATAATTAATGATAGTTATTTCTTATTAATCAATTAGAATAACTATTTATAAACTAATTGCATAATTATTAATGAATTAATTGCCAATTACTGAACCAATTAATCATTATTAATTAAAATGAGTAATTAGTTATTAATAAATATTTAGTACATAATATTCTATTTTATGTAATAAAAATTAAATAAGTAAATAATAATTATTCAATAATTTATAATATAAATAATAAATAATCACCAATATAAAATAATTATTTTAATTTATAATGTTTACTAATTATTTATTGTTAATATTTATAGGTATGTTTAATTAATTAAGAATTAATCATTAATATAATCATCTTAATTATTAAAATAATTAAGAGTTTTAATATATTAATTAAATAATTATGTAATTATTATTTTTGTTATTAAATATTAATATACTTTAATAATTTTTAATTTGTTTAATTATTTAAATAATAATTAATGATTAAAAAGGCTATTTTAATTATTAAAAATAACTATTTGAAATATTAAAATTGTTTTAATTATTAAAATAATTAATTTTATAATCCATTATTAAATTAAATTAGACAAAACTATTATTGTTGTTGTTTTTGTTGCTCTTTATTATTATTATTGTTGTTGTTTTTAATTATTAAAAATTTAAAATAAAAGGTTATTGTAATTTGAAAGCTATAGTCCATGTGGGTCACAGGAAATGGGTACCCTTGTGACATGCAGAAGATAGCTAATGGGGCTTCGTTAAATAGTTAAACAAAGTAACAAACTTTTTCATATCTAGCGTTAAAATGCTTAACTGCCTTTGTTCAAAATAGAGCATTCAAATTTCAAAATACCATGTCAAACTTTAAAACCAAGAAAAATTCATAATTCAAATGCATCTCTAAATGTAATTATTATAGTTTTTAAGTCATTCAGATGTCAAATTTCAATGCAAACAAACAAGCCCCTAAACTCAACCACAAACTGTGTAAAACCTAATGACATAACGAGGAGATCACATTGGCACCCAACAGAGGGCGCCCCACATGCACATCCCAGCGGGCATTTGGAAACATCTCCTGGGAGGTGCAGTGGGGCACTTGTGGGGCGCCAATATGATATCAATAACGAGGAACGCATACCAATACAAGGGTGATTGTGTGGTCAGAGGTCATTCTCATGTCATAAAATTCACAAATTCTAGCCTTTACCTTTTCCTTTTGATAGATAAAGAGTTTTTGGAAACAGAGTTGGGTGTGCTCAATTGCAGGGGTAAGGTTGTATACGTGACCCGCATTGGCGGGGCTGCCTTTTATAGAAGAAGAAGTTTATAGTATATAGTTGAAATAAGAAGTTTGGAACCCAGATTTTGATTTGATTCTAGTGTATGGTTGAAATGAGACCTACATCAGATTAAGCATACAGAACTTTGGAATCAACTTACAATCCAAACAGATTCTGATGAAGGAAGATTTGACTCGACCTTGCAATCACGCCACGTGGCAAAAAATAAGTAGCTCGACACTTAAAACAGCATACCCAGGGTGCAAACACCAAAGGGAAGAGACCAGTAGTCTGAACTCCCCTCGAGGAGACCGAACTCCCCTCGAGGAGACCAACTCCCTAAGAGGAGCCCGAACTCCCTACAAGGGGCCCGAACTCCCTAAAAGGAGCCCGAACTCCCTACTAAGAGCTCGAACTCCCTAAAAGGAGCCCGACTTCCCTACTAAGAGCTTGAACTCCCTACTAAGAGCCGAACTCCCTACGAGGAGCCCGAACTCTCCCTTTGGCCCCGAGCCACACAAAGYAGTGACCCGAACTGGCCCATCTCATGGCAGTTCGGGACACCCCCCTATCCGAACTCAAGACTTCGCCTCGCACACCTGTCCAAGCACTTCGCCTCCAGAGCATTGAACTGGACAAACCACACCGTACCTGACACCGAAGGAGTCCGTATCCAGGGGCGGCGCACCTGACTGACTTGGGATCTGACGCTTGACAGCCGCACTCCAATGGGCACCTGCCACCGCCATCTCTAGTTACAGAGACGGCTCCGACAAAAAGAGCAGTGATGGTTTTGCCCCAGTAGAGGCAATGACGCCCGAACTGGCAGAAGCACGGAAGTAATCATTCCTGACATGACAGAAGTCTAGGAGTGAGTGCGCGAGGTGGTTATAAAAGGCTCTCCACCCCCTAAAGAGGAGGTATGCAAACTTTGCGCTATCTGGTTTTATCTTGCCTTCGAAGGATTCTAACTTGAGCTTCGGAGCCTTTACACCGGGTTCCCCCGGAGCTTCCTCATCTCCTCCGTTTCAGGTTCCCTGCTACTCAGTTCAGAGGCGTCGTCTGTGGGAATGCTTCAAAAAGCCTCCCTCCAAACTCTCAT